CTTTGGTTCATCTCTGTAATCCATTTAGGAATTCAATTTCATAGATAGTAATATGCAATGTAAATATAGATTAACATAGTGTATGAATAGGCTTTCAACCTACCTAGTAATGCTGTTTTTGTGAACTTATCATAACTGTTATACAAGTAACCCCCAACTTTCTCATCAACCACAAAAGATAATGGCTAGTATAAACATTAGCACTGGTAAATGTTTTTCCCCTGAAGGTTTCTTTTCTTTATTATTACTAAATACAATTTAATTTAGCCTTTGTTTTCAATTACACCTTCAAAGCTGCAAATTATTTGGAATTTATAATTTTCTACTCTTATGCTATATTTTGTCTTACAATTCCTGACTTTTAATTTCAGCAATCACATTTTAAATTTTCAGGGTCTCTTTTGTTGCTTTTTCAAACTATCCCATTCATGTTTTGTACATAAAAGATAATCTTTAAGATATTCAATTTTTGTTCTCTACTTATATATTACTTTTGGGTCTCCCTCCTCCCATTAGTTGGGCCCCCCTTTTTTTATGAGAGACTTCACTCAGTATCTAATGGCATTTGACTGTTCTTTATAGGAGATGATTTTGGCTGATGATCTCCAATGTAGTTTCATTATCTCACCAAAATTCATTAGACCCTTGTAAGGGTCAGAATTTAGAAACAAATTTTTAGAAAATTATTGCCTATAACAACATAGAAGAAACTATTTAATGTCTCATGCACTGGATGAGATTTTGAAAAAGAATTTTCAAAGAATAAGCTAGCTGCTGCTCCTAAAATTTTTAAACTCGTAAGAGAAAAACTCTAAAATAAAGAGGTGGGTATGCACATGCAATTGAAAGGGAACACAGTGTAGTGCCCAGGATAGGCAAAGCCAGAAAATAAAATTGTCTCACCAAATCAAATATTGATCATTCAATAAAGATTTGCAACAAAAAGCAGCAATCCATGGAGCTACCACTATCATGGTCTCAAAGAAGAGACTAAATCAAGGGTGTAGCTATACACTCATTTTTATTTTTCTTTTCAATAGTTTATTTTTCCATCACATTTTATGCATTTTTCCATCTCAGTTGTAATCCCCTTGGGCTTCCCATCACCAAATCACCCATGTACCATCACCAAAGTCCAGTGCATTTCCCTCCCCCCACTGTTTTTGATCTCATTCCCCACCCCATCCCCATAAAATGTCTCTGGTATATAACTGTTCATTATTATTATTTTCTCGCCTTGTCCATTATACTCCTGCTATGAGAGAAACCATCCAGTATTTTTCCTTTTCTTTCTGGCTTATTTCACTAAGCATGATCTCTTCCAGCTCCATCCATGTTGCTGTAAAAGGCATGTGCTTCTTTTTTAGTTTGCTGATACACTCATTTTTTAATACTTCTTAAGGGATTATAAGGATGCCTTTCAGTTGGACCAAAGTACTCCTAAAAAGATTCAAGGAATGAGAAGATATGCTCAAGGCATAAAAATCTCTGCAAACTAAATCAAGAGTACCTTGATTTAGATACTAAATCAAGTATTAGGTACTCTTGATTTAGTATCTATTGACTTTCTCTACTTCTATCCTGCTGGTCTTTCAGACCTTTACTCCCTGTATTTGGGTGAATCCTATTTCCTTTATTAAAACTCCCTGTTCACAACAAAGTTGTAATGAATCCGCTTTCTTCATTAAATTCAAATTGAAACATCTGTCTTCCCTAGAAAAGAATCAGAGGCAAAAATCAAATCTGTCACTTTATTAGACAGAGCAATCCTGTTGGTGAGAGTGAGGAAGAAAGGAAATAAAATTAAAAAGATAGGAAGTAAACCCCAAATTGAAAAATTATTATATAGTACCTGGTTGGTTTCATGGAAAGCCCTAAAAATCATGGCAAATCACTCAACAAATATACCTGTTTAGCCATCTTACACTTCTGGACAGTAAAATGAAAAACTGCCACTGAACAATCCACTAGAAAGAGAAATTCATCTAACTTTTTCTAATTCATTAATACATGTTTTCCAGATTGTGTCATTTAGCACTGCTGAAGGTCAGGTCACTGGCAAGGGCAGCGGGATGGGCACGGGGTGGGCGTGGGGGGGAGATAGGGCTGGGAGGCCTCCCTGAGGCACAGGAGTTAAGTCTTAGTACTATCACCACCACAGCATGGAGTTTGAGCCCCCACCAGGGAGTTGACCCACATGGTGCAGCAGACCTCTCCTGTCTCACCTGCTGCTCCCCTCAGCAGTGTATGTCACTCCATCTGCCTGCTTTGCTCCCACTTTTGTCTGATGAATCATCTCACCCCCAAACCTCTGGCCCACACCCCACTCCTTATATACAAACACATAAATTTGAGTCATGGAGGAATCCCTATGGCATGGTGCTTCCCAGAGTCCAGAAGTTGTAGAATGTATGAAGTATATATGAGTATGTGGTTGGCTGATCTCAGCCAGAGAAATCATACAAACCTGGAGTCTGTCACTATGTGGGGTCAGAGCTATGACAAAGCAAGTGGATGTTAACCTAGAATCTGCAAAAGTGCTAGAGGAAGTTGTGTCTGATACTATATCTGTTGGCACGACATATTAGGCTATATAATAA